GAAAACTTCAAAAACCAGGTTTGAACTAATTTTATACATCAAAACCAAGAGCGTTTTACTCAGCTCTCATCCAAAAGAACCCAGAATTTTGCAGTATGAATAAACCAGATCAACTGAAGTGACAGTCTCACTAAGGGCTAATCAAGTGTTCACGCTTCAGATTTACAGATACCCAAAAACAATACCCACCCATTGTTCAGATGAGCAGATGTTTTCTGAAATGTGTCCTGAAGGTCAAAAAAAAACCAGCCCAAAACCCCTCAAAAAACCCCCATCAAGATAAAATGTAACATCCAGTCCCAATATCAATAGTTTCAAAGTGATAATTGTCCAGGAAATTCCCAAGCCCTCAAAGACTTGGATCACAGTAAGTTTCTGCAGCACAGATATTGTCTCTGTAGTCAGAGATCAGATTAAGTTTATCATGGAATTGTACAGTCTGGCTTAAAAACAAATTATATATGATAAAAAAGCAAGTAGTATATTCACCTTGTGGATGGGAGCAACAAGACTTAAAAAAATTAAATGAACTGACCAAGGCAAAAAGCCAAAAAGTTTGAAACAGATGAAAAATTAATGTAGATCTGTGAAAGTCCTGCTCAATCCTTTAATTGCAAGACCATACTTGCTGTGAACACTGCAAAAACCAACCAGGAGGCAATAGAAATGCAAATAAAACTGAAATGAAAAATTTACAACCCACTAAAGAGTGATCCCCTCTTATCAGCTCAAATAGTGCTGCTTTCTCAGCCATAATTGTTATCCAAACAGCCAGAAGGTAAAAACTTGAAACAGAGCTGAGCTGTGCAAACTCCTCTATAATAAACACCAGGTTAACACTCAACAGTCACACTTAAAAAAAAAAAAAAAAAAAAAAAAGTTGACCTAATAGTGCCTGACTGGCAAGCTAAAAAGTATTTCCTTAAGCACTTAATTTCATCAGGCTGAAGGAGAAGAAAGACAACACAGATCCACAGCTTGCCTCCTTGGCTCTTGCAGAATTCTTTTGACCTTAATCAGTTACAGAGTTAATAAGTACAAAACCTGCACAAATTGTAGGAGGTACCACTGAGGCTTTGGGGATTTTTTGGTTCTTCAAGCACCAAAGTTGACAGAGTTACTACTTCACCTCAGTGTAGATATTGAAAAGTAGATATTTCTAATTTTCTGTTTAGCTCCACTAACAATTTTTCCCCCCCACACTCATAGCCCAAATAAAAATGTTGTTTGAACAACTGTTAGTACATCCACAGAAGAGAAGCCCAAGGTACCAAATAAGCATCTGATGCTGTTTTTACTTTGACTCCATCCCACTGTCCATACATTGCAGCAAGGCTGGATCTGATGTTGTTGGTTTATACCTTCAGAGCAGGGCAGGAGGGGAATTGGGGCTGCCCTTCTCCCACTCACCGTGCATGTCCATCATCCCTGGGGAGGAGCTGTTCTCTGGAGTGGTCACTTCAGAGCCACATTTTTCATCTTTGCCCTTTTTCTTATTCTTATTTTTCTGAAAAACAAAAGGCATCACACACAAATGAGATACCACCACCACAAAGAGAAATCCGTGTTGCAGTACAAAACCCTCATCACTCATTACTTCCATAAGCACCTCTTAATTTCAAGTGAGAAATAAAGCCAGTGTGATAATAACTGCCATTATCAATAATGCATTAGTCCCAATAACTGCAGGACTGTTTTCCCATTTGCATTCTTCTTGACACAGAACACTAGGATTTATGGGAAATTCTAATAACAGCACTAAACATGATCTTAAAGCTCTTTTCCAACCTGAACAATTTTGTGATTCTGTTCTTCATCTTCAAACTGCACCATTTCTGTAAAAAGCACAGAAGTTCTCAGAAACCCTCCTAGTTCTCCACACAAGAATCTGAGGCACAGTGATTAAAGGGTTTGCTGCTACAGACTCTGAGAACTTGGCAGGTGCTGCTGCCAACTCTGTACTCAGCCCTAAGAGCTACAGAAGCAAGGTCAAAGAAATCTCTGCTACACCAGGAACAGGGAATAATATTGCTGATCAGAGGCAGGGCTGAGATCCACCAAAACACCCTATTTCTGAGCTCCCAGTTCTGCTCTGTGTGGTTTGTGTGTATCAACACACCACCACCTAACCCAGTACATTGTCCCTTTCCTATCAGGAAGCTTCAAGAGCACACCAAGACACTGTGCACCACAGGAATGACAAAGATCATGAATTTTAGGCTCAAGAGACAGCTTTTCACCTCCTTCTCAAAGACCAACACTGCAGAGACCTCCTCCTTCCCTACAACCAATGCTGTTTCTTCATTCTAACTAAAAGATGGATTAAGAAAAATCAGACTGGCCTAAAACAAAGAGCACAAGCACGACAGCCCTGCGTGAGCACCGGGTCCCAACCTGCTCAGGACTGACCCCCAGCACAGCCCACAAGCACTAAAACAAAGGAAGAGCCCGTGGATCCATCACGTGGGAACTCTGCGCCTGCCGAGGGATGCAGCATTTCCAATTAGGAGGTGACGTAATCAGTCTCCCAGGAGAAAGAGCAGCTGCACTGCTTTTGGAGGATCCTGCTGCCTGCTGAGGACACAATGGGAAGCCTGACTCCAGGAAGAACACTCTCAACCCATCCTTTTGGACAGAGAGCGTCTTCCAACAGGGGAAGGAACTAAAACACAATCAAATATTGTCTAAGACTGCAGAAGAAATTCAACAAGTGATATCTGGGAAAGACTTTTGTCTTTATTTTAAACGTATTATTTAAGTTATTTCTAAACTGTATTTTTTCTTCAGAGAAGCCAGATTTTACTCCCTAATATACGAAACAGAGGTGAGAGTACATGGACTTCTTTACCTTTGCAAAATGAAAGTTCAGAGGGGTCATAATATCTCTCAGGTTTGGTTTGGTTATTTTTTTAAAGGCAATAAAGACACTTTTGCCACAAAAGAAATACTGAAAATGACAGCAAGCAATTTAAACTGCAAAGTGTTTTACAAAGGTTTAACCATCAAAGTGGTGAGGCTCTAGAACAGCCTTCCAGACCCAATAGGAGGAAAAGAGCCCAGCTAATTGTAGTTCAGAGAAATGTCAAAGTGTCTTAGGAACAGTACATGAGGGGGGAAGAAATCTAATCTCTGTTCACTAAAATCAAAGACAACTTCCATTTGAAACAGGAAAGGTCCCATCTTCCTACTCTAGTGAAAAGCAAAGTCACTGTCTGCTCCTTCACAGTGGATGAAATTGGATATAAAGGAATGTCTGCAACAAAATTAAATAGCCAAAATTACTCCTGCTTGGTATTTATTTGTAAAATACATGCACTTGTTTTATTTGTGAGAACTTCCAGAGCAAGAAGACAGAAACCTTGTGACATCAATGCTGCAACAACTGCAGCATGAAAAGAGTGTGACTGTAGGACACCAAAGTAACTGGTCTTGAACAAGTGTCCCAATTTCAGCAAATCTGGGGCCTCAACCTACAGATGATGGCTCAGAAAACACAATTAAACTCTGCACAGAGACCATTATATAAACCCATTCTTCATAACAGGGAATCTGACTTCAGGTACCAGTGACCTTGAAAATTCATCCAGAAGCTCACTTAGAAATTCTATTTCCAAGTCCCACAGCACCCATCCTGCAGGAACACCTTCACTGCAGGAAATGATTTTCAGAAGCCATGAACCTAAATATCCTAAATCTTGCACTCTCTCTCACGCAGATAGCACACCTCCCCCCCTCCCATGTATTATAAATAAATATATCAAGACCAAACATTTGACAACTAGAAACAATGAAGAGATTTCTGTAAAGAAGGTTTCCCAGTTCCTAAGGGGTTACTTCACAGAGATGCTGCTCAAGCACTGGAAGAACCCAAGAGCTTTCCCACAACTTTGACAGTCATTGATATATGTGGGACAACCAAAGGCACAGAAAAGAAACAAAGTAAAAGCACGTGAAGCCCAAGGAAGGAGTACCAAACTTAGCATATATATTCTGTTGTATCATTATTTTACTATGATATTGTGGATTAGTTTTCTATTACAATATTTCAACTTTTAAAAAAGCAGTGTTTTGAAAATCAATTTGTAAGTCCCACCCACTTTGATTTTTACAGCAATTTTAACACCACATGAACAGTGCACACTAAGAACACAAACATGATGCATACACAGAACATTCATGAAGAGAAAACACACATTGCAATAGAAGTGTTTGTGCTGTATTACTTGGGCTGGACATCTTAATACAAGCTATCTCAGTTCCACAGGGTTTTCCTACCCTCACATCAGTGTTTTGCACCTATTTTTGAGCAAAACAGAGAATACTCTGCCCAGTTCCAAACCAGCTACTTTCCTCTAAAACATCAGGCAGAAGGAGGGAAAATGGTCAATGTCTGAACTTTCCCTCCCCACTTCCCAGTTGTTACGTTAGAGAAAGGTTTAAAAAATCAGTTTCAAGCTGAATATTTCACAGTTATCTGAGAACTGATCCCAGTTGACTCCAGGAAGACTCACCCACTGACCCATCAACATCACTTTCTGTAGAGATCAACATCTCCCTGGAGCGTGCAAGACCCACACCAGCCTTAGCTTAAGGCTCCGAGAAGATCAAGAATATTATTTCTTTGGATTTTCCCTAAACACAAGGAAAAAGCAGAGACTGCAGGATATACTTACATCATCGACCTTGGGCTCTGTTACTGGGACCCATTTGTAAATCCTTAGGGATGTGTCGCCAACTGTCACCCACTTCTTCTCCCTAGAAAATTACAATGCAGGAGAAGTTAAACTTCGAATTCAGAAGAGAGTGATCTCCTATTGTAAGTTGTCAAGGATTTAAACAGGCTATTAAGTAGGATGATCTCTATTACATCGTCTTTAGCACTGCATTGTGCAAATTGTTCTTTGCGTTTCACAAAGTTGTTAGAGCACTGCTACCCTCCAGATTTCTCAGGGCTGTTACCTGACTGGGTGAGTAACTGCAGTAGCAGTAATAAGATCTGGATTAAAGGTACAGTTAAGAAGAACAGCAATTGAAAATGCAGATTTAATGCCTACAATTTTCACTTCGGTTTCTAGAGAGCAGAAGAGGGTTTAGACAGACCAGTGCGTTTTGATTGTCATGAAGCTGTTTAATGGCATCAGAAATCTAGATGCATTTTGACCATCTGAGGTTTATTTTGGGGCAGAAATTTGCTGCTGGCAATTTAACATTCACTCCACACCCCTGACAGACAGCTCTGCAATTCCAGCCGTAGGACCAACAGCCTCTTTGGAAGAAACGTGTGCCGTGATGCAGAATCCAGACTCTGGAGAGCCCAGCCCTCTGGAAAAGCAAGGCTGAGGCTACCAGAGAGGGAAAAGCATAACCTGGAGCACTGTGCAGGCCCTGCCAGCCGTGAATGGTGACACTGACAAATTGTGAAGGAAATGTGGCTGGAGGGCGGCACCACCTCAGGGGGGCACAGCGGAGAGCAAAGGGACGCTCAGCGCCTGGGTGAGGGATGAATTCCCTGAGCCCTCTCCAGCAGGGTATTAAAAGAAGGTCCACAATGCCAGAGAAATTTCATCCCGTGCCTGTGATCAGCTTTCAGGTCACAGATTCCCACTGCTGGTTGCTGGGTTTGTAAAGCAGCTCTGCAAATGGATCGATTAGAAGTTAACAACAAAGAGCGATTCCATTAAAGATTCAGGAACATCTGAAATTAATTTGGCGTGAGATCTGAAGCATTATTTTTTTCCAAAAAACACATTTAAATAATAGATTTGGGATCCAGTTATAGGTTAAAAAGATTTAAAAATGTTTTTTGCAGGATGGGAGAAGCTGGGTGTGACTCCAAATATATATATATTTATTTGTGATAGCTTCATTTTTAAAAAGGACCTCCAGAATCAAAAGCAGCCACAAACATCCTCCTATTTGTTTTAGCTACTAAAGCCAATCTTTTATCTTCCCTTTAGAAGAGACATTTTCCTGTTTAATCAAAAAAAACCCCTAAACTATATATGACTATTTGATACATTTTGGATCTGTCTGTAAGGAGATTTTAACTTAAGTCCAAAACTATTTGAGATTTATTTCTTTCCCACTGCTCTTCCTGGAGTACAATTTCCCCTCATTGTGTTTGGATACAACCATTTGGGTACACTAGGTGGCTAAAGTATGTCAAACTCCAATTTCACTCTAATTTGGAGCTCTACATGTGATAAAAATGACAGTGGAGATGAGGGCATGTCAATAATGAGAACATACTTAATTGTGAAGTGATGATCATGACATAATTTGGGGTTTTTTTAAGGATACAAGACAAACTAGGTTTATCTCTACTTAGGAAAACCTTTGAAATTATGGAAATAAAACCAGCTGGGGTTTTGTTTTGGGTGGGGGGAGAGGTGAATAAATGCTTTTAAAAAATCAAGATTTTAGTCTTTTCCTACAGCAAAATATTACTTAGAGATGCTGCACTGGAAAACCAAAAGTTCAAGATACCTGTTAGCATCTCAAAGCAGCCTCACACAGCATCTTCACTGGACAGACTGTAGAACACAGGAGGAAACCTATATTAGTAACTTTTTCCTTCTAGTATTAAAGTTAGCCCTGACATCTTAATTCTTTTGAGCTTCTTAAGTACCACTTTAAGTTTCGATAACCCTCAGCTACAGGGATTTTTTAACTGAATTCAATACACAGTAATTCAGACAACAATGGGAAGAAGGATATTTTGTGATGGAAGTACACCAACATCCCAGTCCTGCAAACACTCACAGCTGAAAAGAAAACCCCACATCACACTGCTATTATGCAAATATTTTACACGTGTGAGCATTTACAGTATTGGAGGTTTAAGACCATGAAAGTATCAGTAGGAAAAAAAGAAGACAACCTCCTCTAAAATGTAATAAAAGCATTTGCAGCACAAACACAAATTTGTTAACAAAGAAACGCAATGACTTTGAGACACTTGAGATCAACAGGGTAAAATAACTTCAAGATTAAAGATGTTTATTGCAAATTAAGCTTAGGATATTATGCGTAATACTTACTGCCTTTGCATTTCACAACGAAACCCAAAATCCAAACAAGCAAACAAAAACCCCACACCCAGTTCTACTCTGACGACTCTTTTTAGTCTTTCATGCAAAGACACCATCCCAACCTGCTGGTCAGGGGCTTTCCTTCTCATTCCCTGAGAACTGACAATTTACTGATGCTGCCCCATGGCAGGAAGTTTGGGAAATGCTGCACAAACCACACAACACCCTCCCTGACCCAGCACTGGAGTGGGAATGAGGAATTCCTGAGCTCCTGTGCCCAGCCTCTTGTGAGACCTGAAGTAGTTTCTCCCCATTTTCCTGTCTGTTGCACCCACCCATCCCGAGATCCTGAGCAGAATTCCACCCCACCACCTATTCCACCTTTGCTAAGTGATCACTAGGTAAAATATGTTATCACACTACCCTCTGCTATTCCATATAGGTTGGTCTCTATATTGACTGGTGGACTGGAAAAGGTGCCTAATGGAAATCCATCAACCTGACAGTTTATCAGGCTAAAAATGTGGCAATGATCAACTTTACTTGTCCATGTCCAGCTGATAAACTCCGCAGCTTTACAAAAAAATAATAATTTGGCCTGTTTTAATACCTCTCCTGTTCCTCCATGAATGAATCAGGAGTAACAACAGAAAGTGGCAAACTTCAAATATCCACAAAAATACTTTTTTCTTTTAATTTTCCACACCGAAAAGTGTTTTCAATATTTTAGTCACAGTAAATTCAGAAACTAACCAATGCAACATAAACAAACCCTTACATCTATCTGAAATTGTGTTAAAGCATTTTTAAATTCTGAACTGTATCTGCACAGCATTTAAAGGACAGCCAAGGGTACATAGGGTAAGCACTAGTATCAACACTTCAGTGCTTATGCCTGAGGCATACTAATATCCCAGAACTTACATCATTATATACTCAATTCCCCACTCTAAAGAGCTCAGGACTCTTAAATATATTTATATTTTGTTTAATAACACTAGAGCTCCACAGATGAGTATCAGATTCCACGTATAAAAGTAATATATGGGTGAGCAAAGACAACAGTGTATGTTACACTTATACAGAAAGTGTCAAGGCAGCTTCTGCAGCAGCAGTGAGTGCCAGAAACATTTGATGGCACAGACACAGAAAGCCTTTACTGCCAATATATCACTCAAGGAAAGGCTTTCCCACTCGTTTGGCCTTTTCCTGTGGCTCTCATCCATCAGTGATCTGCGTTTACACACGGATTTGCTCCCACATACCCCATCTTCTGCTGATGGTCACGAAGTGACGTCATAATGCTGAATTTATCACATCACACTCACTTGCATTGCAACAGAGTTTGGTGAAAATCACAGAATTATGACCTCCCTGTGGGATCAAGCAAAGGAGAGAGGGGAATGGGAAAGAAAATGCCATTATTATACACAAAAAGTGCTGTGAGATGCACAACAACTGACTTTCTGAGGCGCAGCTTTGCCTTCCCGAGCACGCCCACTGCTGTGGGGATGTCTGTCTAGTGACTAATGTGAAGGAGCCCCAGACACACGTGGTGTTTATACTGACCAGGCTGCAAACACAATAAAAAGCCATGCAGCATGACTGGACAAGGACAGGTGGTTACAGACACCTTCCCTCTGAGTTTCCCTAAACACGGCACATTTTGAGAGCCCCCTGTACCACACACAGGCCAGCACGTTTTAAAGCAAGCCCTGCTTGGTTCCACGTGGCCAGGAGCACCTTTCTAACAGTGGAGAGAACCATTTACACATGCCAAAACTCTACCTTTAACCTCAGCTTCCACTAAAGTCAGAGAGCACATCCTGGCTCAGAGAGAAATAATCAAAGACAGAAAAAAAAGTATCATAATTCAAGCATCGTAACAGGGTGTTTGGGCCACTACAAAACTTCAGTACATTTCTGCACATACACTGGGTATTCTTACTTCAACTGCCACTACTTGAACTAAAATCTTAGCAGGAAACCTAAAAGAGCCAACACAGCCAGGCTGAAGCAGGGTGGTGATCCAGGAGTAGCAAACAGCCTTTTTCCAAAGACATCATGTTAAGAAGTTCTATGTCATAACTCCTGTTCAGACCAAAAGCCTATTTTAAGGAAGCATGAGCAGCAAAACCTCCAAAAGCTCAATCTCTGAGCATTACATATCACACAAAAACATTTCAGTGAGTCTGAATGGAGCCAGTGAACAGAAAAGCTACAGCAGCATTGCCCAGAAATTCTAAGTAGCCACAGCCAGCGATCCCAACCATTGGCACCAGGTTACACAGCCAGTGGGGACTTTTCTCCTCAACTTTCTCCAAGTACTTTCTTTCATCAGTTGTCCAGGTTCACCTCTTCTTCCTAAGGTGCTACCACTACCCTCAGATTAGGGCTTTGATGGGTCAGAGAAATGTCAAAGGATTCTGCAAAGAATTCAAAGACAAGGCAGTGAGCTTTCCTCATTCCCACCAGGTATTCCAGACCTCAATCCTCACGTTTGCACAGTTGTCCGAAAGTCCAGCAGTGCTCCATACCCATGAAAATTATTTCACTGCCTCCCAAGACATCCTACCACTTATGCCTCCTGCCCGTTACTTGTCTTTCAGTAAATGTCTGTATTTTCCTGCATTTGATAAATCCGACTTGGATAAAACCCAAGAGTGTTTCCAGTATTTTTCTATTGCTGGTTGAGGGCACAATAGTTTTTGCCCCTCTCATCTTGAGAGCCTACTTAGAATTTACAAGTACCCATCAACCTTTAAGACAAAAGCCAACCCTGTACCTTTCACAATCCAGTGAGACAAATTAATCTCAGGATTTTTTAAGACAGACTTGAAGAAAAATTGCAAAAACTGTTAAAAAACTCCAAACTATTCTCTTACTGTGGAAATTTAACTTTTCTGCCACACGAATACAACGTAACCACAAATTCCCTAAGCCACGTGCTCTGTGTTTTCCCAAACAGATGCTCATTCACGAGAGTGGTTTAAACAAAGGAGATAAGGTTACAGTAATCTCAAGATAAAAACGTAACAACTTCACTGTTTACTACTAAGTTCCACTAATAACCAGAAGTGCCACGTGCTGCAGACGGACATGAAAAGAAGGGATCTGCATCCAAGGGCTTGCTGTCCAAGAACACTAATTTCCTAAGGAACGAAGTCTGTCCTGGTGGAAGCTGCTTCCCAGCAGGCACGTTCACAGATGTGGCAGCACAAGGATTCAGTAATACCACACAGCAAGGTGCTGCACACCTTCCCAGGTGGATAAAGCTCTGGAGAAAGGCCCTGTCTGCTCGGATGAGTTCACAGCCCCGCCTGCCTCCCCGCTCATCCCCGGCACGCAGCACTCCGAACACGCAAGTCTCACAAAACTCTGTCCTAGGAAATGTTGGGTGCAAGGTATTTTAATTTTCAGTGGCTGCATTTCCACAGAAGAGCTGTGGATGGCAACAAATTGCTTCTATTATGCAAATGAAACTGCACACTTGGAAATTGCCGATGTGGCTCTTCTGAAGATGCAGGAATTGCCAGTGTGGAAAGTTCAATTTAACAAGCCAAGTCTTCTCAAAGCACTGAAACCACAAAACACAGAATCTCTCTTGCTAATTTCCCACTGTACTTGACTGCAGGTGTAGAAGGAGAATCATGGAATTCACCTTCAAATTATGATTCCCTTAAAAACAAGGAAATTGGTTTATGTAAATACTTGTGGGGTGCACATGCAAAAAGCCATATCAATACTTCTGACAATAATCAACAGAAACATTGCATGATTCCACACGGGAACCCTTTAAAGCAAGTTGTCTCTCATGAGGGTTAATGTGTAGAAAAATCTATTTATACCATAAGATTTCTGTTTTACAGAGAGAGCCATAGCAACTGACATGATGGCAGAGAGCCCTTGCCAAGAAAAAATAAATAAACGAGGTATTTTGTTGAATGACCAAGCTGCTGTCTGTATTGCCCTCTGAATTCTGCAAACTAGGATTCAAAGGGAGCGTGCTGTGCTCATGAATGAAATACCTACAGACAAAACAGTCCCACACACCCAACCACGCTCCTGCTGGAACAAAAGTCCTGTCACACCGCTGGACATTGTTCTGACCCTCCAAAGCTGGTCCAGCCGTCAGCAAACTGCACTTAAAACACCACCCGAGTAAAAGAGAGTTCCTGAAAGCACTCGGGCTGCTCCGGCTCCCCACACAATGGCTGAATTCTTTGAAATCCACATCTCGTGCCCGGCGTTATTGGACACACGTCCCAATTCTTTGTCCGGATCTCGCCAACGGGCCCATTCCCGTGCTCAAGGCCATTTAAAGCTTAAACAATCCATTTCACCCCAATTACGAACACGTTCAATTCTGTATTTCACCCTCTTCTTTTAACGCAAACAAAGCGTGAGCTGAGGATTGCAACAGAGGTGTCCCCTGACTTCACCAGGTACAAACCAGCTGAGTGATGCAGATCAACACTAACCCAAGGGATTTCCCCGTGGATTCCGTGTGTTTAAAGAAAGTATTTTAAGGTACACACGTACAAGAACTACCGAACAGTCACAACTTGCTGGAAGAGAGATCCACTCTTGAGTCACACTGGCACTGCTCTTTATCCCATCCCAGGTCCCCGCACCGACCGTGCAGAACACGGCAGCGACCGCTTCGCTGTATTGTCTCAACACCTCGTGAGGGTTTTTCTAACAAAAGCCGAAAAAAAAAAGAGACAAAAGCGGGAAAAGGCCAAAACACGCTGAAGGCCTAACAAAAAGGACTTATTCAGTCGGGGTATAACCTTTCATCACACGATTTAAGGAAGGTTCCAGGAGCAGTTTCGCGCTCTCTCCCGGAGCGCCGGTGGGAGACGATCGCGCTCGGCTTTGCTGCGCTTTTACGCGCAAACCTCGGGAACTTGAGAGGTAAAATAAATAAACAAACAGGCAGCGACAGAAAAAGAAAATAAACTCTCGGGAGCTTTACGGGGGTATTTTTAACATGTTTTGTGGGGGTTTTTTTCTTCCCAGAACACTTCTTGGAGCGCTATTTCCCCCCGGCGCGGGCGGCGGGGCAGCCCCGGGCCCGCTCCCCGGGCCCTTTGTCGGGGCAGGCGGCGGGAGGTGCCGGGCCCGACTCTCCGCCCGCCAGTGGCCGCGGCGCCCGGCCCGGGACCCGCGGGGGTGTGCGATGGGCCGGGGGTGCGGGGGGCGGCGAGGGACGGCGGGGAGGGGGTTCGGACGCACAATGGAGCCGCCTCTCGCCCTCACACGCCGCCGCCGCCGCCTTCATGTGACTCGCGGAGGAGCGAAATGGCTGCTGGGTGCCGCCGGCTCCCCGCCCCCCGCGGCCGCCGCCGAGCCCCGGCCCCGCGCGGGGCCGGCGCGGGGCGCGGGGAGGCGCGG